CATCGGCGTCTTCCCAGGGCCAAAGCTCTACATCGAGGGAACCAGGCGGCAGAGATGGAACGAGGCCACTTTATTTTTTTTTAATACAGGGGTCCTCTGTGTCCCCCGCAGACCCGGCACTTGAGCATTTGTGTCCTTGTCCTGAGGTTGTGTCCGACCCTGGCTGTGCCTTTCAGGGCTTCCCTGTCCTCCTCCTGCCCCTCCCTGTTTTAGGGAGGCCCCTGCCCCCGTTCCAGAATCCAGCCTTGCTCCCTCCTCCCAGAACAGCTGGCCTGCTGGGCTCTCATCGATCCACCCTGCTACTCCTGAGTGAGGCTAATAGGTTCCCCAGGTCCCTCTCCACCTTAGACTTGGCAGGCAACTGCTGCCGGGCCAGCGGTCTGCCCTGCGGAGAGAAGGTTGGCGGGGGGGAGGTGGAGGGGCTCAAGAGAGCAGATTTGCACCCCTCAGATGGCAAATGCCCTTGGTAAATCCCTTAGTTCCATTAAACAGAGGTGAGGAGAATGACAATTTGCACCGAAACACCTAATATTCTTAACATAATCAAACCACACTTTCTCCTTGGCAAATTTCTTCCACTGCCTAGAATTTAAAAGTCTCCTAGTTGATTCACAGAATTAGGGAGTCTCTGGGCTGGAAAGACATCAATGTTTTTCTAGTTCAACCTCCCATGCACTGACTGAATCCCCTCTACATCAGTCCTCAAGAGGGGCTGCCCTCTACTTGACTACCTCCCGCCCCGGGGAACTCACTACCTCATGTGTGCCCGAGCAGCTTCACACAGCTCAGACTGAAGGCTCTTCCCTAGGTTGTGCTGTCTCCCTGCAACACCCATCCACTCGGGGTTGCTGGCTTTAGTCCTTGAGGCTGCCAAGAACAAGTCTACCTCGTGACTGCCTTCCGGTGATTCCCAAGGCCAGCAGCCCTTCCTTCAGCTGCTACCCTAGTGACAAGGTGACAGTGCCTGCCAGTTGCTGCTGCTTCCCTGGCCTGTTAGGATGCAGAGTCTCTTTCTTTCCCACAATCCAGTTCGTGCAAGCACTGGGCACCTGTGCCCTGGGGATATGTAGGAATGTTTGAAATGGGATTCCTACCTGTGTTAGCTTTGCATTGCTGCAACAAAACACCCGAGTTAAACAACTTAAAAGGAAGAAAGGTTTATTTTGACTCACAATTTCAGAGGTTTACGTCCATGTCACTTGACCCCATTACTGGTGCTTGTGGTGAGGTGGAACATCATGGCAAGGAACTTGTGACAGAGCACAGCTATTAACCTCATAGGGGCCAGAAGGCAAAGAAAGAAAAAGAAGGGGGCCAGGAACAAATTATATATCCCTCAAGGGCACACCCTCAGTGACTCACTTCCTCCAACTATGCCCCACAGCCTACAGTGTCCACCCTGTCCCAATAGTCCATTAAGTTAGGAGTCAATCAATGAATTAGTCCATTGATGAAGTCAGAGCTCTCATGATCCAATTACCTTTTAAAGGCCTCACCTCTGAACACTGCTGCAGTGGGTTCCAAGCCTTCAACACAGGAGCTTTTGGGGACATTTAAGATACAAATCACAACACTACATAAAACCATGAAAGAACTCATGTATATATTTCTCATTACCATTATATATAACCCACAAATACATGATGATTCCAATTATGATTTTTCCACTTGGCCATGGTGCAGTCCCATACTATGCTGTGAGTCATAGCATCGGGTGCCCGAGATCACCAGGGAAAACGGCCGACACTCTAGCATCCTGTGTTGCTCAGCCAGGATGTTTGATAGGTTACATGCATTCAATATGTTTCCAATTTACGATGTTTTCAACTTACAATGGGTTTATCAACGTAACCCATTGTAAATTGAGGATTATGTGCATGCTATCAAGTGTTGTGTATGGCTTATAACCAAAGCTCCTGTTTTGAGGGTTAGATGATAAATCCTGCAAGAGTTGGGAGAAGGGAGAAGTAGGTGAGATTGGAGAATGGAGAGAAGTTTTCAGGGAGGAGATGGGGTGACGGGTGTTTGGGGGAAGAATGGGAATCAAGATTTGTTCAGCCCATTCTAGGTGACGGGTGCCCTTGAGGTCCTCCTGCTAACCCTGCCAGGCCACCATTCTCCTGATTTCACACACAGGGACACAGAGGCACAGAGGAGCGAGGGCATTGCACTCTGACCTGCCCAGCCGTGGGAGTTGCAGTCACCTCCCAATGCTGTGTTTTCTTCTCTGTCCCCGGTGCTCTCCAGGTTGGGCTGAGGAACAGCTTGCTGAGGGGTGGGCCGGGGAGGGCTGCCCACCTCCCCGAGGACCCACTGCCCTTCTCTCCTGCATGTCCCCGCCCTGCCTCTCTGCACACACAGAGTGCTGGGCAGGATTAGGAACCCTGCTGTTTTTGTTTAAAGGGCAGCCAAGGGCCCCAAGGAGGTGTCAGACAGGGGATTGAGCCGAGTGTCTGGGGTGCTCTCTCCCTGGGAGCTTAGTGTACCTGCCAGTTTTAAAGGGATGAAGGGTCCCTGGGCTGTCTCTGTCAGACATCACCATGCTGAGCATAATCCTGCTCTCAAGCCCCGGCTTCCCTGTCTCGTCCCACTGAATTTCATTGCCCATCTGAAGAATCCCAAGGGTTTTGGCCTCGTTCCCAGCCAGACTCTGAAGATTCTCTGTGCTGCACACAAGGACCTGTGGAGCTGGCCCTCCCGAGTGTCTCTCCAGCAGTGGGGCTGCCATAACCCCAGCACGCACAGGAGACCCTGAGGCCCCAGGAGGCCAGCTCTGTGGCCTCTCCTGGCCTCCTTATTAAAAGTGCCTTTGGGTCAGGTGTTCCGACTTTTGTCCAGGTGACGGTTTGCTTTTGGCATCGTGTTTGAAAGGAAGCTGTGGTGAATACCGCCATCATCTCACTTGTGAGGCAGAATGAGGCAGCCCCACAGAAAACCAAGTGAACTCAAACCGCCAAATAAAATAGGGACGTGATTCACACTTGCCCTTGGTATAGGTGCCATCCTGGACTCTGAGCTCCCAGGGGTGGGGACCTCATCCACCCATCTCCTCTGCCTTATGTCTGTCTTCATGGTGCCTGCCACTTAGGACAGGTCAGTAGTAAGCAGTGGATATACGCCAGCTTCTCTCCCTTCTCTGTGTGGTCCTGCGTCAGAATGGGCGTAAGTAAATGCAAGAGAAACGAACTTGAGATGGCACAGCCCACTCCTGGCCCGTTCCCCGGTCCTCACCCTCTTATGCCATTTCACAGATGAAGAATGAAGCCGTGAGGTTAGAAGATGGGAACCGGTGCTGGGGGGCTGTCAGAGGCAGTGCAGCATTGCAGGTCTCTGTGGGGGCCCTCTTGGGGGCTGAGAGGAAAGGCCAGTTCCACGTGGTGACGTGCCCAGCGGGGCTACTGAAGCCTCTTTGTAAAGATCTAGCCCTCCCAGGGCTTCTGCCTCCCTGCCCTTTCTCAAAACCAGGGACAGGATGATTAGGGTTTCAGTGTGTTAAAACAAAAAGACCCCAGCCCCCAACAAGTTGTATCCTCTGTCCCTTCATTCCCAGACGCACTGTCCCTCACCCCCAGGTACTATGCCTGTTGCTACCTGCTTGATTTGTCCTAGGGGGTGGCCTAGTCTCATGGGAAGAAGGTTGGAGGCACATCAGAAAATGAGAATTCGGGTTCCACCGGTGTCCCTGCATTCATGTAACTTAGACAAGCTGTGCCCTTTCTCTGCAACATGAGGAGGTGGATGGTAGCTTTTTTAATGTGCCCTCCCACTATATTATCTTTTGGACCTCAAGATTCAGAAGGGTGCAGGAAAGAATCTTCAGGGTTCTCTATTCAACACACCGCCAAATGGGCCAGCGTAGAAACAGGCAGTTTGGGGACCAGGACTGGCAGTTCATCCACAGCATGTGAGCTGAGTTGCTCACCCTCCTGCCTCTGTCCTCCTCTGAACTCCTGGTATCATGATATTCCATGGATTTCTGTGAGGACTTACATGAAATCAGTCATGTAAAAATTTTAGCACATTAGCTGGAACATAAAGGTTCAGTAAATGTTACTCACGTCATTGCTCGGGGAACAAATGCCCACACTTCTCTTTCCATTGGGATTGAGACCACTGCTTTTCTGGACAGTAACCCTCTGGCTACACATCTACCCTACCCCTGGACTATCTTTTCAGAGCCAAGGCAGAATTAGCACACACTCCTCTCAGTGATATCATTCTGGGCTCTTCTTCCTACCACTGCCCCAAGCAGCCAATAGCTGGGGGTGGAGGGTGGAAGGAGAGTCCTCAGCAAAAGATTCCCTTTTTTTCCATTTTGTTCTGGGCCCCGATTCTTGCCTGCTGGAGTTAGTTCAAAGCCTGATCTCTTATGATCATCATAATGCCTGTCTTAATGCAGCCAGGAGGCTCTGAGGAGTTCAAAGGGTTTTGCCAGGCCTTTTTTTTTTTGGTCTGGAGATCTTGAGGGAACCGCTTCTCCACCTCTAAAATGCAAACAGAAGCTTTTCTAGAGCCTGATGTCCCTTCATGCGGTTTCCAGGGTCCTAGTGCTTCACATGCTCCCTAGTTTGGAGTTCACACACCCTGAGGCTCCTGCTGCTGTGATTCTCACTTCTCAGATGAGGAAACCGATACCGAGATAACTGACAGGTGAAAACGTCCTAGAAGTGGGGAAAGAGACCCTGGCTGGGTGGCCTCTGAACCCAGTTCTCAGCCCCTGGGCACACTGCTTAGAGGGAAGGGTTGGGGACTCTCACCCCACCTGACATTCCAAGCAGGCCATTCTCCAGGGAGCTGGGGACAATGGGAGCTTAGGACATTCTTTTTATTTTAGATGGGATAAGAGAGGCCAAGAAACCTGCTCACGTCATGATATAGCTCCTTAGCACTAGCCACAACCCTACTTCCTGCCCAAGTCACTGTGTGTCCTGTGTATGCCCAAGCATCTGTTGGGGCAGGTCTGCAGAGCCTCAGGGACTTCCTCCTCTCTCCCTCTCCAGGCCTTTTAAACCTAGAGAAGCTGCTCCGGCAATTCCTTATCTCCAAGGACACACTCTCGGTCCGGATGCTGGATGACACCAGGGACCCCACCCCGCTCCTCAAGGAGATCCGGGACGACAAGACAGCCACCATCATCATCCATGCCAATGCCTCCATGTCCCACACCATCCTCCTGAAGGTGGGAGCCGGGCTGGGTGGCTGGTGGGCATCCTTCTGTCTCCTCCCTCCAGCATCCCTGCTCCCTGGCTGTTCTTCAGCCCTGGGCTGGATTGAACCCTGACCAGCCTCTCTGTGCTCCTCTTTGAATGGATGGTTCCTAAAAGTTGAAAGGAGAAAACAGGGTGATGGGTGATGCCCTAAGAAATATCTAACAGCTGGTGAGGCGGGACAGCAAGCTTCTAAAACACCAATGCTAGACCTGCCAGGGCCCAGGGGAGAGGTCAGGGTTCCTGGGGGGATCAGGAGTGGGGGTGGTGCACTTGGGGGACTCCAACAGAGACTGCTGGCCAGACGGTATAGAAACAGCTCCACATTTTGACAAGCAGGACTGTCACACCAGTGTGTGTTGCCCTGTCTTTAATCCTGACACCGCGTTCAACAGTTTACAAAGTGCTCCTGTGTAATTTCCCAGTGATGAGGCAGGTGTGTGGTGCTCATCCTATAGCTGAAGAAACAGAGGCTCTGAAGACGAGCAGATTTGTCTGCTGCCAGTCCTGGGAGGGGCAGAGCCAGACTGCTTGGTCTCCTGCCCGTAAGGCAGGAAGTTTCCCCGATGCTCCCCAAGACAGGGGGCAGCTACCTGGCCCTGAGTCAGAGCATACACCCCTGGGAACTAGAACGCATGAGGCAGGCCAGCCCAAGAAAGCGAGAACTCAGGTGGCTGAGGGCCATGGTGGACATGCTGTACACCATTGGGCAGCCGGGGAGTCAGCTGTCACCGGTTCCTGGGCTGGTGGTTGAGGTGGACATACTACCTCAGAGAGAGCCGCCTGCTTCTAGGCCGGCAGGCCGTCTCTTCCCTGGCTCATCAGCAGCTCCCCCAACCTCTCAGGCATACTGGCCTCTTCTAATGCCATTTTAATTGCACATTTAAACACAACCTGCCATCTTCCACTGGGGGAGCCAGGCTCCTCGTTAACCTCTGCCAAGCTGTGAGGACCTGGTGGACACTCAGATGATTGTCTCTTCCTCTCCCTCCCTCCTTCGCTCTTGTCCTCCCCTCCGTGGCTAGTTTTTGTCTGAGACTAAATAAGAGATTTGAATGAGTGTTCCCAGTACTGAGGGCTGTCCCTTCAGCCCGTTGCTATAGTAATTTTCCACAGCACCAAGTCACGTCTGTCCATGGTGTATACCCAACGCACACTCTCACACACAGACATGCTCTCCAACACATCATTTCTCTCTTTTCTTTATCTCTTTCTTCTCTCATGTCTGGACCTATCATCAATGAAGTCATTAAGGATGGAAGCTCTTCCCCAGGTCCCAGGAGATGAGAGACACAGGGTGAGGGGTCTTTCTCAGGGAAGGTAGGAGGTTCGCTTAGTAGTTCAGTGTCCTCCAGCCCCCATGTGGAGAGTGTGCCTGAACAGCCCTCAGGTGGGAGCCTTAGAGGGCAGACCCCTGCCCCCGAATGTTCTGTGGCTCCTAACATACGAAGTTGGGCTCCCCTATCCAATACTATATGACTAGTTCATTGTTGACATTTTGGAAAGTACAGAAAGCACATAGAAGAAAATACAAATCATTCATAATCCCATCCCTGGAGTTAACCATTCCTAAATTTTGATGTCTCTTCTTTCTGTTTCAGTCACATTCCCCGCCAGATTATTGCACAAACATTTTTTTTTCTGTAAATTGCTTTTTAAAAAACTTAATTATGAGCTATGTATTTTGCCCATGTTGTAAAATATATTTCTACCAATATTTTAATGGCTGTGCCATTTCCTATCATATAGACGTCTCGTAATTTATTTAACCATCCCCTTATTGCTGGAGAGATGGGTTGTTTCCAGTCTTTTGCTATAATAAATAGTTCTGGGTTGCACATCTTTGTACATAAATCTTGATGCAGTTCATGACTATTTCCTCTGTGTAAATTTCTAGAAGAGGAACACTGAATTAAGGTGTGCATGTTTTTAAGGACATTGAGATGATTTGCCAGATTGCCTGTTGGAAATCTGTTAACAGTTTACACTTATATCAGCAGCATGTAGGTATCTTATTGTACCTTGCCAATACTAGAAATTGTCATTACAAATGTTTTGTGGGTTGTCTTTTTGCTTTTGTTTTTAGGGTTTTTATTTGGTTGGGATTTTTAATTTTGCTTTTGTGGTCATGATTTCAAAGAAAATTCTGCCTGTAGTGACCTCATTAGCAAACAGCTCTGCTGGTGCCTGTGGCCATCTTTCCTGATACCCCTTGACCTAAGCTTCTGTGTCTTTGCAGCCAAACTGATCAATGAGCAGTGAGTTTCAGGAAAGCCTCTTCTCTTTGTTCCTATTGGACATCCTGCTGGTCCCAGGCAGGCTGGCCTGGCCTCCCTCTGCCCTGGGGTTCTCTGTTTCTCCCTCCAGGGGGCATCCATAGAGCCTTCGTGGGCCTAAAGGAAGATGGACTTGGTGTGGGAAATGGGGTGTGCAGAGTGCACACGTGGCCTCTGGGAGCCCCAGAGTGCGCCTGGGGGCCTGGCCTCAGCTCTTGGCTGTCTCTTGATATCTGGAGGATTTGCAGAGTAATCCCCTACTTTATTGAGCAGCTGTTCCAGCAACAAGCTCTATATTTACCCAGAAATCAGGTCTTAAAAACCAAGGATCTCTTGTCTTTTATCTCTAGGATAGCAGATTTCACAAAATGAATTTTAACCGTCCGACCCCTTGTCGATCCCCACACAGCCCGTTCCTGCAAGCAGTGGGCTCAGGTGGGTCAGGTCCGGCCATCCTCTCCAAGGCAGAGAGGACATGTAGCTTTGCTTGGAGGGAGAAGGAACCTCACCATGAAAGCCTTGAGCTCCGCTGAGCCCCCCAAGTGATCCTGCCCTTGTCACTAAGCCCTGCTGCACTTTAGCTTCCCATTGTGATATGGTGACATAATCCTTAGCCAGTTCCTCCAGGAGCCTGAGCAGGTTCCTGTAAGAATGCTCATAAAGTTTTTGGAGGTCCTTGAGAGATAAACACCACGTACAAGGAAAGTGCAATCATCCCTGGTCTTGTTTCTCCCCCATCCACCTCAACAGTCATGACAAGAACTGTCTCCCAGTGGCCCCGGGCTGTAGGATATATTATGAAAATCTAACCAACTGTCAGGAGGGATGAGGGCCCTGGAGAGAGCCAGGCTCATTATTTACCTGATCTACTTGTCAGTTTCTGTAGCACCTGTCACCCTCAAAGCCGGGCACACTGACAGAGAAGGTTGGCTAAGGGGTATTTCTGATGGGTACAGAGATCAGACAAAAGGGAGGCTGTTCTGAAGTTGCAGTTCCACTGTGAATGAGTCTGCCCGTGTGCTGTGATCAAGGGCAACTGGTTCCTTACTATTAATAAAGGACCAAAGTGGGCAGATGATTTGCTTGTTTCCTAGGTTATTATAGACTCAGAATACTCTTAATGAGTTTCACCTGCATTCTGATGGGGGTGAGGTTCATTCGCACAGTCTCTCTTACCTACGCCATGGCCCTAAAAGATTGGGTGTACAGTTCCATCCATAACATTGTCCTCAAAGGGGAGTAGAGTTTGGTTAAAAGCACTGAAATTAGGCTGCCTAGCTTAGTTTCATCTGTTCCATGTATGAGACTCTTGTATAAGTTATTCAGCTTGTTTTCCTTTTGGTTTCTTCTGTTATGAAATGAGGGTGGGGGAATGTAATCATGCCTCCCCCCCCTCCATGATTGACCCCTATAGAATAGTTTCTAGAGCCTGGTATCTAATGGGTAAATGTTAGCCATTGTTATCATTAATATTTGTGGAGAAAATCATTCTAGGCTATTTTATTATTTGCTTCACTTTATGTAAAGCCACTTTGGTCCCCACAGTATCCCCTTAAATCCATGGGAGTGTACACCAGCTACTGTGGGTGTCATGGCGGGGTCGGGGGATGGAGGCAGGGAGACCTTTAGAGGCCAGTGTTTCTGTGTTCCATCATCCAAGATTCAGGGTAACATAAGAACCTGTCAAGAGATCCCACTTTGCCTGGTGCTGCAGGGTGGTGGCCAGACAAAGGACAGATCCTTGGTGCCCTCTCTGCTCATTTGCTTCCAGTGAGTTTTGTTTTCTTCTCTAATCTCCTTCTCTTTACTTTGCAGGCAGCTGAACTAGGGATGGTGTCAGCCTATTACACATACATCTTCACTAATCTGGTAAGAAGTTTCCACAGCTCACCTCTTTGGTATAGAGAATTGTCAGTGGTCGGGGTTAGTGGGTCCTGATGGGACCTAGGAAATGGGGAGTAAGTGGAGAAATTAAGGCAGAGGAGCAGAAGTCAACTAGAGCCAAGGCATCTTGGAAACATGGGAGTCTGAGAGCCCAGTGGGATTCTCATTCTAATGATTCTTAGCCTCAGAAAAATGGAAATTTGGGGACTTTAATGCCTCCATTTGAATGCCTCTAGCTACTTAGCACTGATACCTTGGGCTGTATCATGATGGATGGGCCTTGCTGGTAGGTCCGGTTACTGACCTGCAGTCCAGTCTCTACATCACCAGCTCCCCATGATAACTCAGAAGTACAACACCGGGGTGCAGAAAGTATACATGTCTTATAGTGGTTTAATTGGATGGACTTCTAGAAGCAATCTTAGCCAAATCCCCTTATTTTGCAGATGAGAAAGCTGAGATCTGTAGAAATTTTACTGAGTCAAGGTTTAAGTACTGGCTTTCCCAAATGCCTACCATGTGCCCTTCAACAAAACACTAAGCTTTGGTGTCTTTATCTACAAAATGGAAGTATGAACAGCAACATCATTGAGCTGTTATAATTTTGAAATCAGAGGATTTAAGGCAGATATCAATTAGTTGAAAGAGCCCTGCTAAGTTAGAGAGCAGAATTCAACCTCACAGCTTGGTATTTTCGACTTTAAAAAGAATAAGCTTACTGAGAAGCAAAGACTTTCTTGCTGAAAGTGTGCAAGAGGGTAATTTAGGAGATGGTGCAGTCTCCTTCCCTGGACATAGGGACTAGATCTCCCTGCGGTGTATAGGAGCCGCCTACCTACGGAGACGGGCGTGGACTCTGAGATCCTTGTTCTTTCCTAGCTGTAGGTGTCCATGAGCAGCCCTTTCTTGGGCTTCTGTGGACTATTAACCTTGAAGCATACAACAGGCCTTTGCTCTCAGAGTTGAAAGAGATCTTAGAGGTTTGCCAGAGAGTCATTCCCCTTTGCTTGAACTCGAGTTTAAATGGCTGGTTCAACACCGTCTCAAAACTGCCTGTGCTATGGTTGGAATTGCTGATTGAAGAAGACCACACTTGTTATGTGTTCATGGCACAACGAACTTTCTCCAAGGAGCACACCTGTGTAAGCAGCTCTTGCATCCAGAAATAGAACCTCACTAGCACCCTGAGGCCTACTTTCACGCCCCCCAAACGTAAAACAGCACGAAGGCCTTGTTTGCCACTTTTTAATTTTTTTACTAACACTGCTGCTGTAAATCAGAGCATTAACATGTAAAAGGGGAGACAAGGATTAGGCTATTCCCAGAGCAATGCAAAAGCATTTGCTTCAAGTAAAGAGGCTCTGGGGCGGCCTGGGCAAGTTGGCAGAAGAGTAAAGAGAGATTAAAGTACAGTTGGGTTCCATTTGGGGAGCCTGGGAGATGGGGAGGAGGAGGGACAAAAGGCAGGCCAGGGTCTGCAGCGCTGTGCCAGCCTGCCCAGGGCAGCTCTCTCCCGCCACCAGGCAGCTGCAGCAGAGGAGGAGAAAGGCTGCAGCCAGGAGTCACCGGGTCGCTTGGCAGGGGGAGGGAAGGAGGCCAGTGGTTTGGAGGGGAATCAGAAATCAGATGGCGCTGGGTACAGTGGCACACTCCTGTAATCCCAGTGGCTCCAGAGGCTGAGGCAGGAGTTCAAAGCCAGCCTCAGCAATGGCAAGGTGCAACTCAGTGAGGCCTTGTCTTTAAATAAAATACAAAAATGGGCTTGGATGTGGTTCAGTAGTCAAGGTCCCCCTGAGTTCAATCCTGAGGAAGGAAGGAAGGAAGGGAGGGAGGGAGGGAGGGAAGGAGGAAGGAAGGAAGGAAGGAAGGAAGGAAGGAAGGAAGGAAGGAAGGAAGGAGATGGAGAAGCTCAACTTAGATTTTTAAGAAGATGTCATTCTACCTGCTCTGACATGGTGGGGATGTTGGCATGTTATCTAGTAGAAGAAGCACTGGCCTGTGACATCAGGGGACTCAGGGTCATGTCCCCACTCTGTCCTGTTCTCTCTGAAAGAGTCAACTCTGCCCTCAGAGCCCCAGTTTTCACATTTTTAAAATGGGTATAACAACCTTACGAGGTTGTTGTGAGGATTAACTGGAATTCTGTAAGTAAAAACGCGCATAAATCATAAAGTACTATATGCTCTGAAGTGCTGTGTTTTTCAACATAGCACTATAATATTTTCAGTTTTCAAAGGACTTTCTTCCTTTTCAGGTGGGCGTGGAGCAGAGAAGCTCCGAGAGATGCCTCAGTCTGAGAGCTCTTTGAACTTGGAATTAACAGGAATTTCATAGTTTGTGAGTTTGCAAGGGAGAAAAACCAGAGAATTAATTATATGAGTGATGCTGGTTGAATAATAGTCAAGAAAATAGAAACAGAAGTATTGCATCAAATCAGTGAGAAAATATTCTAAAAGCTCCTCATTAGTGCCTTGGTTTTCTGGAAGCGTCAGGGTGATAGCAAGACTGAAACACTGTTTTGAGCTAGAGAAGGAGGCACTTTATAGAGGGCAATGAGTTCGTTATCTTTTGCATTTATTCAGCTCCATCCCCCAAACACAGATGCCGCCTGAGCCTTGGTTTTTATTTATTTCTTCTCTGCATTCCTTAGGGATCCCCATCATGATCCATCTCTCTGAATTCTGCCACATTGATGCAGTGGGTTCTCAGAATAGTTTTTTTTGAGAACTGGAAGAGGCATGGACCTCAGCTTTAGGTAGATTAGACTTAAAATTCTAGTTTGAATAGATGTTGGCCACGTGATCCTGTGTGAGTTATTTAACCTCTCTGAGTCTTTGTGACATCTTCTGTAAATGGGCACTAATAGTACCTTCTTTGAGAGATAATATACATGCAGCAATTGGTTCTCATATGAATTTAGTAAAGGGGGATTATTTTTTAAAGTCCTAGTTTTGCTTCTCATCAGCTAAAAGAAATGGAAGATACATATTTTGCATGTAATGGCCTGTAAAAGTGACTCCTAAATTGCTGTTTTATTTATTTCCAGAGAATGAATAGATGTAGGTAGTTTGGTTATTGTGCATGACTGAACCCACCATTGCAGGGCTTATTTGTGTCAGTAATTACTGAGTAATTGACCAAGTCCCCATACCTGAGTTCTCATGCAGGCATTAAGAGAGCTGATTGATTTAGGGCATCTGTAATGAATGCATTGGGTTGTCTTCTCTGGATTCCATCAGTTGATTAGCCATTACAAGAGTTGGAACAAAATGATCCATCATGCATCAGACTTGCAAACCGTCAATTCATTGGCCCCCACAGAAGAACTGTCTTTTCCTTTCTCAGGGTCTAGGCAGCAGGGAGAATAAGTGTGCCAGTCCTGGGCCTTGGTTGACAGAGAGGACAAATGTGACAAGAGGAACTGAGTCGGAGGGAGTTGAGGCTACTGGAGGGTTCCCAGTTCTCACTGCCGAGCTGGGGATAAGCTGGATGAACCCAGGGAAGAGCCAAGTCTGTGGGTCAGGAGAAATCCAGCTCAGTAGCACCGTGATGGTGGGGTATCAGACCAAGAGAGAGGTGCTTCCTCAGAGGGGGGAGAGAACCACATGCAGGAACAGATGCTGCCCAGAACAAAGGAGGTGACTGAAGTGTGAAGATGTTCAAGCCCCCAGTCATACGAACGGTGGACAGATGTCCAGGTCTTTTATTTGCATTATCTACTTCAAGGTGGGATTTGGGGGAGTTGGTGCTGGTGTGAAAGGTTTGATCAGTGAAGCAGCTTCCTGCCCCAGTTCCAGGTTCTAAATGGTCAGGACTCATTCCCAGCACAGCATGTCCCTGATTAGTAGGTGAGAATGGCAACTGGTTGAGGCCGGAGCCCAGGAGCAGAGGGGCAGCTTATGAGGTCCAAGTCACAGAACTTGAAAGGCAAATTGAAAGCCAGATGTGCTCTTGGCCAGAGGTCAGGCCTGTGGAGAGGAACTAGGAGGAAGCAAGGCCCGGCTGGCAGTCCAAAGTAAAAGGACAAGAGTTTAGGCCCAAGTGAGACTGGACCAAATAGGGAACCAAGCAAAGCAAGCGAATTACTGCTCAAAGTCACATGTGCAACCCTGAGAACTGGTTCCTGCCCTCATCCAGAGATCAATCAGCCCTTCCCTCCTTTCATCCCTCCCTGTCTCCCTCCTTCTCTCTCTCCTCAAAATTGTCATTTTAACCATTTCTCAGTTTACATTTCCATGGCATTAATACAACTATTACCACTATTTATTTCTTAAATATGTTTTTCTTTGTTTGTTTCTTTCTTTGGCACTAGGGATTGCACTCGGGGGTGCTTAACCACTGCGTCACACTCCCAGCTCTTTTTATTTTTTATTTTGAGACAGGGTCTCCCTAAGTTGCATAGAGCCTCACTATGTTTCTGGGGCTGGCTTTGAACTTCTGATCCTCCTGCCTCAGCCTCCCAAGCTGCTGGACTTAGAGGCGTGTCCACCACTCCCGGCTACTTCTAGAATTTTTTTTCCTCAACCTTAAGAAACTCTGTCTATTAAGAAATAGCTTTCCACACCCTCTTCTCTAGCCCCTGTCAAACTCTGTTTGGTTTTTTTCCCCCTTTTCTCTGGAGTTTGCCTATCCTGGGCCCCCTTTATAAGTGGAGTTACAGAGTATTTCTCCTTTTGTGTCTCATTTATTTCACTTATCATATTTTCTAGGTTCTTCTCTGTCATAGCATGTATCAAAATTTCATTCCACTTTAAAAAAATTTTTTTTAGTTGTTGATGGACCTTTATTTTATTCATTTATTTATATGCAGTGCCATGGATCGAACCCAGGGCCTCACACATGAGAGGCAAGAGCTCTACCACTGAGCCACAACCCCAGCCCTCATTCCATTTTTAAAAGGCATTTTTATTGTGATTAAAATATATATATATATATATATATATATATATATATATATATAGCAAAATTTACTATTTTAACCAATA